GGAATGAATAACAAAAAAGTGGAAATCGAAATACTTTAACTTGCCACTTAATGCGTGCTAGGATGGCATAAGTCCCCACGGTGCGGCGGCGGGCCCGGCCCTACCGGCGCGGTACTCCACCCGCCGGGCTGCCAGCGCGCCGGCGCCGCCCTCTGGGGCGCTCTCGTAGTCGGTTCCCGTATCTCATTGCAGACAAACTTGAACGGCACTGGCGGCGAGGGGGCGACGGCCGTCCGGCCGCGGCTCGGTTGACTCGCCAGGGCACCGCTGGAGTCAGCCGCTTCTGGCCAGACGTCTGGTCACACTGACAGACGTGTCCTGCCGGCCTGCTGAGGTGAACCGCTGAGCTCCGGCTGGCTCAGCGGCCCGCGGCGCCGGACAGCGAGCCAGCGGGCACGGCCGAATCTGGCGCCGCCGCCCCCAGAGCCGCGACACCATCCCTCTGCAGCAGACACACACAGACAGACACACAGTCACAGCCTCTGAGAAATGCGGACATATCCTCACAGGCCACCCGTTCGGGCTCTAATGCAGATGACAACGATAACTTCTTAACGGGTGGGGGGAGCTCGCACTGAAAAAGAGCCATTAGCAGCGACTTCATTTGTGCAGCTTCAGTTGGCAGAGCTCGATGGGAAACTTGGGCTGCTCCACAGGTTAGTACTGAGCAGCAGTCAGTGGAGACAGCACATACCGGACAGTCCGGGCAGCGGACTCGGACAGGACAGCGGACTCGGACTGGATATCAGACACGGACCCAGTATCAGACAGGGGCCAGACAGTGGATACAGACAATACTTCCACGGTCTGAATGTGAATGCTTATCAAGTCAGTTCATTGATATTCATGCTAAATCAGTCGGGAACGCTCCATGGAAATTATCAATTTCCATTTTAATTATTTTGGCATATTGGGAGCCCCTCTCGATTTCGTTCAAAATCGCCACACAGGTGTCCCACCACCAGACGAGAAACTTTTCATATCCCGCTACTTTTCATAACTCACAGTCTCCGCCCGGTCTCTGTGGGACGCAGGGGCGTAGCCAAGGGGGGGCATAGGGGCCATGCCCCCCCTGGAGCCCAAAAGGGCCCCCATCGCGGTGTCATAAGTACGGTAAGGGGCACAATAAAAGTAGCATAAGAGCCCCTCGGGACACTTCACTGGGTTCGTGGGGGCCTTTCGGGCCTGAGACCTTGCCGCTAGGGCCCTCTGAGCTCTCTTCATTGGTTATAAAAGGGCCCTTCGGGCCTGAGGCTTTGCCCCTGGGCCCCTCGGGGCCCTCTCCATTGGGTTCGCAGGAGCCCTTCGTAATTTTAAGGTAGTTAAGCAAATAACTACGTCATGAAATTAAGAAAATGTTGGGCCCCTTCGCTCACATGGGCCCCTTTCGGTCTGATTAGCCCCCCTGAAGAAAATCCTGGCTACGCCCCTGCCCTTAGACGGCTTACATGACCCTCAGACGGCTTACGAGGCTCTCATGGGCTGCAGGGGCCTTTGACGGTCTGAAGGACCCTCATCCGACCTATGGGGCATCCGACCTCAAGACCGCCTTCAGAACCGGCTGAGCGACTCTGTGAAGCTATTCGTGGGCCTATCTAGCAGGGACCCATGGACTGCTTGCCCCTCAGTTCTAACATTTTTTTCATTTTTTAAATATCTTTTTAAATTTATTTGGGCCCCCTCCAAAAAATAGTGGATGAAATCCGATGACTTTTTGGATGTGTGTGTCTGTGTGTATACTGACGTTGGCACCGATTGTTTGTGTCCATATTACATGAAATCATGAAATGAGAAGCTTTTATCAAAAATACAGTCAAAGAAACTTTACGAAAAGTAAATTCAGCTTGCCTAAAACACAATGTTTTTAGATGACCTAGGTTGACCTTGACCCTGACCTTGACGTCGGTACATCGTCGAACAACATGTTCCATGATAGGTGGGAGGTAAGACTGGCAAAAAAGGCCGAAATCAAGGTGTCAAAAGCTCACAAGACCCATAGCCAACGCAAGATATTAGGTAGTAGTCCCATGCATTAGGGTAGGTGTCAAGGTCACCCGAAGGTCAGGTCAGGTCATTGACCTTTGATACCTCGGTTCACTTTTTCGAGTTTTACATGTTTCTAGGCTAGTTTTTGGAGCTGAATTCGAATCAAGCAATCATTTGAACATTTACGATGTATTTTGGTGCCTTCGTAACATGTTCCGAAGCTGTCAGAGGCGGTTGCCAACTACTACGAATACCCGTCACGACCCCTACTGGTTGACCTGACCCGACGTGGCCTAAATGTATGAAGACATCATCTATGATCATAACTAACATTATAATCGTGATCAGTACCCCGAAAAAAAAAAACCATAGCAGCCACCCTTTACGACGTTCTAACAGGTCCCGATTTTCCCGATTTTTGGGTCACTGACCTGACCTGGGACCTGACCTGGAAGGTCAACCGATGGGTACTTAAAATTGGGTATCTCGACTTCCTCTCGTCACGGGCAACACGCTCACGGACTCCACCCCCCCCCCCCTTTATACGTTCCCGGCTGGCAAAACACCAATACGGGCAAGGGTTAACCCTCGCCCGCACATGCCATTTTCCCATCCTAGAACGCACATGGGGGGGGGGGTGGTTGCCACCCCCCCGCGCCATTTCGTTCCTGTTGGAGATAGAGCTTAGCAGTAAAGACCAAAAAGATTCTTTGGGAAGAGACGAATCCAATGATACCCAGTTTTACCTTCTCAGGTCAGTCATTGACCTTCCAGGTCAGGTCAAACTAAAAAATGTTGCTGTTTTGGGTCACCGTTGGATATCAAGTGCGCTGCTTATCAAATACCGATGACGATGCTGTTTTCTGGTGCCAAGCCAGCTAGAACCTCTTTGTCACACTATCCGACCAGAATTTTGCTGCTGAGGTCATTTCAGGTCAAGTTAGGTCAAGGTCAATTATATGTGTTTGTATGTCTGTGTGTGTCTGTGTGTATACAGATGTGTGCACCGATTGTTTTTGGGTCCATATCACATGAAATCATGATCTGAGAAGCTTTTACCAAAAATGCAGTCAAAAAACTTCACAAAAAGTAAATTCAGCTTGCCTAAAACGCAATTATCTTCGATGACCTAGGTTGACCTTGACCCTGACCTTGACCCCTGTACATCGTCGAACAACATGTTCCATGATAGGTGGGAGGTAAGACTGGCAAAAAAGGCCGAAATCAGGGTGTCAAAAGCTCACAAGGCCCATGGCAAACGCAAGATGTTGAGAATTGGCCATTTGGGTCATGACATGACCTGAAAAACAAGGTCGTATCTCCGAAACCAAAAATCACAGAAACTTGAAATTTTCAGTGGACATCAAGAAAGGATAGACGAGCAGCTATACGAAAAATCAGCCTTCTAGCTTTAAAAATGTGGAGTGCAGAGCAGAAAGACTGCCTGGGGGGGTGGCAACCACCCCCCCCCCCCATGTGCGGGCGAGGGTTAAAGGGAACAACTCGGGTCGACGGATCTTCAGAAAGGAAAAATCAAACGCCCGGCCATGACCTCACTGTTGGGGTCCTCAAACTGAATGGAATAGTTCGCCGAGCCGCCGCTGCCCATGACTTTGTTTGTTTGTTTGTTTTGTTGGGTTAGGCCCTTTCGGTCGACAAGACCATTGCAGAGCCGGAAGGATGATAGGAATTAGGGGGAGACATTGGTCTGGGCAGGCACCCTAGTGAGTCGCCGGGGCTGAGCCCGTCCAGAGGACAGGCCACCCAGCCCCAAGGCACTCACTGCACCCGGCTACGGGGTGCGCTCCCTCGGGAGCAGCGGTGCCGCTCCAAGGGAGCAGCCCGCATGAGATAAAGTTGCCTGTCCAGCCCGGAGGGGGGTTGCGGCGTGGAGGAGAAGGATTTCAGTATCCTGAGGATAGAAGCACGGAACGGTGTGCCCATGACGCGATACTTTCAAGAGAGACTATACACCAGGCGGCAGCTGATACTCCTGCGAGCAGCCGGCAGACCGCAGTGACACCTGACGGCCGCAGTCGGAACTAGAGCTGCGCAAATGCTCCCACCATCATGCAGTAGGCGCTCCATGTGTCCTAGGCTCTAGCGCTTCAGGAACTAAAGACGCATTAAAATATATAAACAAACGATGTTTTACAATGTAGCCAAATATCCTGGCATATGAAAAATGATACTATTTTTTACATGATGCAAAGCACTTCGAAGGCATACATATCCGAACGCGATCCAAGCTCGATAGGCTGAAATAGCTACCTTCGGTCGTGACCCGAGTCCATAGAAGTTTACGCAGCCGGCATTTACGCTGGGCAACGAATGGGCCCCAGTCGGCCATACGCTGGGCAGCGATTGGGCAGCCCGTCTGGGCCCCAAGTGGCTGTTGTTCTGTTGCTGTCCACCAATCAGCCGATAACATGTCAGCTACGTCCATCTACATTGTAGGTACCTATGGCGCTCATGAACGGCTACCGATTTTTACGTGGATAAATAACCTACGAGTTTCGCCACCTATGCCTCGCACTGAAATGTATAAACGTGGTCATATTTATATTTCTCTGTAAAGGGGCGATCTATTTTTGATTTTGACGAAATGTTACGAGAAATGCCGAAATTGGCATGGGGATGTTTTGGTGAACGTCGAAGGGATATTAACGAATGACGAAGCATTTATCCAAATAGTCAAAGGTTCTGCCGGAACTCAATCAGTTATGGCGAATAGCGAATGTTATACCAACTGACGAACTGTGGAGTGGGATCAGCATTCCGTTTTGCCCATATGCTGAAGGTTTTGCCGAAATACCTCTCACTCGCGCCACCTATGTGCTGATCGGACGAATGGGTTTAGGCCAATTGGCCATCGAACAACCCTAAAAGGCGTAGAACGGACTGAATAATGCGTCTGTCGCCGGCTCAGCGCCCATCTCTACACACGACCAGATGGTTCTGCAGCCACTAACGATTGGGAGGGGGGGGGGGGGCTGAGCTGATATCACGCTCACCGGTCGCTTCGATGAGCTGGCTCTCCGCCGCGCCCCGCTGCTGCAGCTGCTGCTGCTGCCGCTGGGCCTGCTGGCACAGCTGGCTAGAGGTCGTCGATGGAAGCCGCGGAGGCGTTGGCGAGGGAATCTGAAAACGTTAGATCGTGCACGTGATTCTGAGCTTGTCAATCGATGAATAAGTGCGAGAACCGTAGATTAATAACGTCAAAATGTTCATCAAGTAGCAAAGTATCATTGATCTGTCTCCATCCAGAACTACTCGGAGCACTGGTTACGTAGTGCGGCTACCACCCAGTCACGTACCCTGGCCGGCGGCGGTGGTCCGCCGGCCCAGCCGACTGCTCGGGCTGGTCGTCTGCCGCACGGAGCCGGCCCCGGCTCACAGTCGGGCTCCGTCTGGAGCGACCCCGGTCAGCCGGCTGGGACCGGGCCGCCGCCGGCGACTCGAACCGGGACGGCGGCGTGGGAGAACGGGCGCGGCCGGCGGCGGCGGGCCCGGCCCTACCGGCGCGGTACTCCACCCGCCGGGAACCGGGCGCGCCGGCGCCGCCCTCTAGGGCGCTCTCGTAGTCGGTTCCCGTATCTCATTGCAGACAAACTTGGACGGCACTGGCGGCGAGGGGGCGACGGCCGTCCGCAGCAGCCTGCTGAGGTGAACCGCTGAGCTCCGGCTGGCTCAGCGGCCCGCGGCGCCGGACAGCGAGCCAGCGGAGCCACGGCCGGGTCTAGCGCCGCCGCCCCCAGAGCCGCGACACCATCCCTCAGCTGCAGCAGACACACACAGACAGACACACAGTCACAACCTCTGAGAAATGCAGACGTAGCCTCACAGGCCGCCCGTTCGGGCTCTAATGCAGATGGCAACGATAACCCGCGCGGGGCTGGGGTCTCCATCCGAACGCGCGGGGCTGGGGGGGGGGTAAATTTTACCCCCCCCCCCCCCTGTTATCTCCCGAACTAATGGTCTGATTTGGAAAATTCGAAGGCCAATCGAAAGATCTCATCACGAACAACTAAAAACATGTACTTAATTTAAAGTTTGAGGTCAAAGTCAAGGTCAGGTCAAGGGTACAAATTGCAAGTTTCTACAGTATCGGCCTTGCACCGGTGTTGCCGAAGAATGGAGTCATGGACTGAGACTGATTGCCCAAAACGTGTTTTTAGGCTACCAAGACAATATTCGTTGCATACAATATCATTCAGAGGTCAAGGTCAAGGTCAGGTCAGGTCAGGTCACCAAAAACAAAATATAGAAAAGGGCATGTGCGACACATGTTTTATGGGTCATTTCACTCATAGAATTCAATAGGCACACTCAATAAGTGATATGGACCACCTCTGGATGAATTTCAGGTCGAATTCAAGGTCAGATCACGTGAGGTCAAATTTTGAAGTTGGTTGTTAAGGCCTAAAAAGGTGTCTATCTGATGCAGTTTTTCACGGCAAATCAAATGGTGCTATTTTTGCTTCCGTACGAGGTCTAGAACATCCAAAAAAAATCATTTTTCAAATTTTGTGTGTGTCGTGACGTCATAAAATTTTGAATAACTCCCACATTTTTGAACCGATTCTTCTAAAAACTGGTATGTAGGTGCACATAGACCACTTCTCTGACATATATTCCGGTTTTTTCGATACACTCAAAATTTTGGATTTTATAACTGTTTTCCCAAAAGTCAGTTTTTTGAAGAAAAAAATTTGGGCCAAAATCCAAAATTTTCAAAAAACCGAGATAACCATTTGATAGACAAAGTAGAATTACGTATAACCTTTTTTGTTAAGTCTTCATTCCTTTAAAAATGAAGATGTTAGCGGCGTTTGAAATTTTGCCGTTTTTGAGGCGAAAATGGCGAACATGACGTCACTACAACGTCAATTTCTCAAAAATTGTCCGACGGATTTCGCTCAAATTTTCAGGGAACGTGTCAAATTGATGGAAGAAAAGGTACTGAAAGTTTGGAGGCGCTGCGCGCCGCCGTTTTTGAGATATTGCCAAAATTCGCGAGGGGGGGTAAAATTTACCCCGAAGCCCCGCGCGGGTTAACTTCTTAACGGGTGGGAGCTCGCACTGAAAACGAGCCCTTAACAGCGACTTCATTCAGTTGGCAGAGCTCGATGGGAAACTTGGGCTGCTCCACAGGTCAGCCATGAGCAGCACTCAGTGGAGACAGCACACACCGGACAGTCCGGGCAGCGGACTCAGACAGGACAGCAGACTCGGACTGGGTATCAGACACGGACCCTAAATCAGACAGGGGCCAGACAGCGGACACAGACAATACTTCAAGGGTCTGAATGTGTATGCTTATCAAGTCAGTTCATTGATTTTCATGCTAAATCAGTCGGGAACACTCCATGGAATTCTATTTTAATTATTTTGGTATATTGGGAGCCACTCTCGATTTCGTTCAAAATCGCCACACAGGTGTCCCACCACCAGACGAAAAACGTTTCATATCCCGCTACTTTCCATGACTCACAGCTCCGCCCGGTCTCGATGGAACGTCGCCGCCCTGACCCGAGATATGCTGCGCGCACCGCCGGACCGGTCATCAGTCGCTGCCGCCGCTGACGCCAGTGTCCGAACAGCTCCAAACACTTTCCGGCCCTGTATAGCAGGATGTAAGCATCAGAGGCGGGAACGATCAATGCAGGGATGTAGAACATTCACAATGGACTTCACTGCCTGCATGAAGTGCAACAGGATCAGAAGCCAGTCCGTGTCCAACTGGGTCCGTGATATCAAAGTGTCCGTGTCCTTGAGCACGTCTCCGGCCGGCGGGGCTGACCCGGCCGTGTGTGACGTCACGCCCCGCCGGTCGGTCCTACCCCCCCACACCAGCCGGCGCCGTCACCTGGCGGCCGCCGGGGGCGCAGCGGCCCCCACGGCGCCGAGCCCGGCCTCGGCAGCGGGCGGACGTCCCGCGGAGGATCACCGGTCGGCATTTACAGAGCGGCGCCGCCTGCCCTCCCCAGTGCCGTCCTCTCGTCCGCTCTGCTACCCGCTCAGTGCCCACCTCAGCCCACCTCAGCGAAGCATGAGGTACCCAAATCGGAGGAGTCTGGATAATTTGGGACGATTTTTTTGTAGAGAACGCCCTGCAATGTGCAGTACTCCCTTTCAGCATCAGCCAGTGTACGATTAAGACACAATTAGGCCGAACAATTGGCTGCAAACCTATGCTAATAATCAGCAGTTGCCAAAACACGGACACCCGATGAACAACCAAACTCGGTCGGCCGGTCTCTCAGCCGGCCATACCTATACGCCACAGCTGGTGGATACGCGTCGGGCGGCCGGCGGGGGGGGGGGGCGGCGGCCGGGGGGGGGGCGGGGCAGCGGGAGGGAAGAGCGTATTTGGCCGCGCCAGTTTACGTCGAAAAGCAAATTAGATAAGAAGACCGAACGAAAACTCCCAAAGGGTAGCTTCGAAATCAGAATCCAGTTTTTCACTCGGTCAGTTAGCCCTCGCTCTTCGACAGACATGTGCATGGATTCGAGTGATGGATCTATGATCTCAGACATCAGTGGATCTCGAAGCAAACTGCAGATTAGGATCTATCAGGCGACCGGATCCGGTATGAAAAGTCTGTCCTAGATCTATGATCTCATAGGATCTGATGATAGGAATCCAGAATATGCAGCTATGATCTGAGTGGATCCCACCATGCACAAAATTTGAAACCAAGTTTCCAAGTGTTTCTACGTCAATTAGTGCCAAAAAACTATGGATTGGGACAAACATATGGGAATTTTGATATCGGTGATCTAAGATCAGAGGCCATTTATTCCGACGCTTCCATTCGACTTCCATTCGCTCCCCTGGGATTATGACAATTCTCCGCCCATGAGCGTAAACACGATGGGCACGTAAGCGGATAGGGCTTTAAGCCTTTACTGTTTCACTCTGTATGTGAAGCAATGCAAAAGCCAGGCATCGGACCTAACAAAGAAAATGCATGCAGTCTTGATCAACCTGCTTCAAACGGTTATGTACCAACTCCGGCACCCAGCTGCCGGCTGCGCCACAACGAACTCGAAGCGGCCAGAGTAGCCGCTCCTCTCCCTAGATGGCTCTAGTAGTACAGCGCCTGAACTCCCGCTGTGCCGCAAGACACGAGCCCGGGTCTGGCAGCGGCGAACTGTCGCCTTCAATGAGCTTTTGAGCGATGTAGTTAGATATGCAATGCGCAATATTCTGCGATCGATGCAGGCAGGCTAACTCTAAATCAGGCGGTACGAACAGTCGGCTATACCTACGGTACATACTAGGGCCTGTGTTGAGTTCATCACTTTGATTCTGCAGTGCTGCCTGTTCGGCACAATAGGAAATGCGAGCATCCACACCGTGGCAGTGGACAAGACACGGACCGTCGTACCAGCTGTGGGCCTGTGGCCACACTGCAGGTCCTCGGGAATACGTGCCCCCGATCGGCGCCCTCGAGCGGCGACCCGTCAGCCCGAGGCTGACACCCTCTGACCAGTGCGATATTGACAGATGACAGAAGTTACTGACAGAGGGCAGCCGAGCGGAGAGCGGCGCCGGCCAGCCGGTATATGGTGCAACCGGCACGGCTGAGGCCGATCTATTGGAAACGGGATTTCGCAATTGATCCCGTCCCGGATGGCGAATGACTTGTATGTAGGACGTAGGTAGGTACAGTACGGCGAGACAAGCCTAAAATTAAATAATACACTTATGTGTATTTTCAACTGCCTATGTTTTATTCACCGTAAAACAAAATAAACTATTCCTCTTTCAGGGTTACTAATGGTGCATTTATCGATGCTCGAATATTATTCTTTCTGTCTCAGTGACTGCAGAGCGGTGTTTCACTGGACGCTGCTATCACGCTGCCGGCGCATTTCGCGACCTGACGTCACAAACTGTGGCCGTGTTGGAGATACGAGTTTGTTGATGTCTCCATGGAAACTCAATTGGACACGTGTGCTGGCAGCGCGCTAGCAGCGGCCGTGAAACAGGGCCCCGAGTCCGAGCACCTACTCTGGAGCCGGGCGTGGCCACCGATGCTCCAAGGCCCGCCAGTGTTGCCGCTGCTCTCGTTCTCCTCGGGCGGCGCTGGCAGCGTGCCGCCCTGGGCGGGTGCGGGCCGGTACCGGTCCTGGTTAGCCCGGCTCCGGAGCGGTGCACGGTACACCGCTGCATCCAGCACACGGACAGCGCGGCGGCCAACCTCCCACGGTGAACCAGCGCCGCGCGCCGTCACCGCGGCTCTGCAGTCTTCCGTGGCCATCCTTCGTCCGTCCGGATCCTCTTCATATTCCTCCGCCGCCGACAGACTCGTCCCCACTCCGTGCCTTGGGTGGCCTTGGGTGGCTCACTCCGTGCCTGGCGGCGGCGGCGGTCCGCCGGCCCAGCCGGCTGCTCGGGCTGGTCGTCTGCCGCCCGGAGCCCGGCCCGGTCGGCGCCGGCTCACAGTCGGGCTCCGTCTGGAGCGCCCAGTCACAGCCTCTGAGAAATGCGGACATATCCTCACAGGCCACCCGTTCGGGCTCTAATGCAGATGACAACGATAACTTCTTAACGGGTGGGAGCTCGCACTGTAAGCGAGCCCTTAACAGCGACTTCATTTGCGCAACTTCAGTTGGCAGAGCTCGATGGGAAACTTGGGCTGCTCCACAGGTCAGTACCGAGAAGCACAGTCAGTGGAGACAGCACACACCGGACAGTCCAGGCAGCGGACTCGGACAGGACAGCAGACTCGGACTGGGTATCAGACACGGACCCTAAATCAGACAGGGGCCAGACAGTGGACACAGACAATACTTCAAGGGTCTGAATGTCAATGCTTATCATGTCTGTTCATTGATATTCATGCTATATCAGTCGGGAACACTCCATGGAGATTATCAATTTCCATTATAATTATTTTGGTATATTGGGAGCCCCTCTCGATTTCGTTCAAAATCGCCACACAGGTGTCCCACCACCAGGACGGAAAACGTCATATCCCGCTACTTTTCATAACTCACAGTCTCCGCCCGGTCTCTGTGGGACGCAGGGGCGTAGCCAAGGGGGGGCATAGGGGCCATGCCCCCCCCCCCCCCTGGAGCCCAAAAGGGCCCCCATCGCGGTGTCATAAGTACGGTAAGGGGCACAATAAAAGTAGCGTAAGAGCCCCTCGGGACACTTCACTGGGTTCGTGGGGGCCTTTCGGGCCTGAGACCTTGCCGCTAGGGCCCTCTGGGCTCTCTTCATTGGTTATAAAAGGTCCCTTCGGGTCTGAGGCTTTGCCCCTGGGCCCCTCGGGGCCCTCTCCATTGGGTTCGCAGGAGCCCTTCGTAATTTTAAGATAGTTAAGCAAATAACTACGTCATGAAATTAAGAAAATGTTGGGCCCCTTCGCTTTCGGTCTGATTGGCCCGCCTGAAGAAAATCCTGGCTACGCCCCTGCCCTTAGACGGCTTACATGACCCTCAGACGGCTTACGAGGCTCTCATGGGCTGTAGGGGCCTTTGGCGGTCTGATTTCTGAAGGACCCTCATCCGACCTACGGGGCCCTCAAGACCGCCTTCAGAACCGGCTGAGCGACTCTGTGAAGCTATTCGTGGGCCTATCTAGCAGGGACCCATGGACTGCTTGCCCCTCAGTTCTAACATTTTTTCATTTTTAAATATTTTTTTAAATTTATTTGGGCCCCCTCCAAAAAATAGTGGATGAAATCCGATGACTTTTTGGATGTGTGTGTCTGTGTGTATACTGACGTTTGCACCGATTGTTTATGTGTCCATATTACATGAAATCATGAAATGAGAAGCTTTTATCAAAAATACAGTCAAATAAACTTCACGAAAAGTAAATTCAGCTTGCCTAAAACACAATGTTTTTAGATGACCTAGGTTGACCTTGACCCTGACCTTGACATCGGTACAGTCACCAGCACTTGCTACTAATCACCTCGTTTTTGTTCAGTAGTTTGAACACCGATCAATTATCAGTCGCCCAAGATACGTCAAACGATGCATTTGGTCCTCCGATTTTCGAATATCTAACTTGTTTTTGTATATTCGAAGCATTTTGGGATGGGGAGCCAAAAAACCTCTTTTCTGCCCTAAAGTGTGCCCCAAGAAGTCGTAGAACCTAGCCCCGCCTCTGATCCACAGACCACTAGTGCCATCTCTTGTCAGCCGAACAAGCCGCAGAAGTAAATAATGCCACGTGACCTTTGCACACGCTACAATTACTACGCAGCTGTAGTGGGGGAAGCGGGGCGGAGGCGTGGAGGGGGACGCGATCGGTCGGCTGGGGTCAGGTCGCCGAGGTCAGAGGTCATCCGCCGGAGGGTGTTTGAGCGGTTGGGCCGTGTGGGCTGGGGCCTGCGGAGTGGGGAGCGCCTGGACCTGTCTGGAAACAAGCCCTATAACGCTGTGACAGTCGAGAATATTGTGAGGAAAGAGAGAAAGAGAGAGAGAGAGAGAGAGAGAGGGAGGGGTATAGAGAGGGAGAGAGAGAGGAAGAGAGAAAGAGAGAGAGAGAGAGAGGGAGAGAGAGAGAGAGAGAAGGAGAGAGAGAGGAAGAGAGAGGAAGAGAGAGAGAGAGGGAGAGACAGAGAGAAATAGAGAGAGAGAGAGAGAGAGGGAGAGCGAGAGAGGGAGTGCGTAGAGAGAGAGAGAGAGAGAGAGAGGGAGATGGAGAGGGAGAGAGAGAGGGAGAGAGAAAGAGAGAGGGGGGAGAGAGAGAGAGAGAAAGAGAGAGGAAGAGAGAGAGGGAGAGACAGAGAGAAATAGAGAGAGAGAGAGAAAGAGAGAGAGAGGAGAAAGAGAGGAGAGAGAGAGAGAGAGAGAGAGAGAGAGAGAGAGAGAGAGAGAGAGAGAGAGAGAGAGAGAGAGAGAGAGAGAGAGAGAGAGAGAGAGAGAGAGAGAGAGAGAGAGAGAGAGAGAGAGAGCTAAGAAAGACTGGAGGGAAGGGATAAGGACAGGAGGAGAGAAAAGAGAGAGAGAAAACTGAAAAGGAAAACCAGAGAGGGTAAAATGAGAATGAGGGCAATGGGTAAATCAGTGAGAGGGAGCGAGAAAGGAAATATTTAGTTGTGTCAGCTTGTTTCACATGTAAAATGCAAATTTGCTTTCCATCATTACAGCTTCGGATTGGAAATTAAATCTTAGCATCCTTGTGATAAACCCACGTTGACGGGATGCAGTAGCGGCGGAACACCTTGAATTAAGGGAGGGGGGGCTCTGCCGAATTTGGTCCTATTATTTCCATGCAACGCTCATAGGGCTAATGTTGAAATGCCAAAATCAAAGGGGGGCACGGTGCCCCGGTGCCTTCCCCGTTCCGCCGCCTATGACGGGATGGGGACGCTTTTATGGTCGTCGTTGGGAGCTCGGCACTAATGGGATCTGGGGATGATGTTGAAGGCTTCGCAAATGTTTCATAAAAGATGCTATTTTTTGCACAACCTATTAAACATTTTTTTTACGTTTGCTATGAAAATGTTAGGCCCAGTTGCAGTTCCTTCAAGGTTAGGTCCACGACTCCACAGCTTACAACAGGAGCTAGCTAACATGAACAATTAACCCGCGCCGTGTTGGTGGCATGAACTTTCCATCGAGTGCTGGGGGGGGCGTTTTACGCCCCTCCGTCTTCCATCGAGTGCTGGGGGGCGTTTTACGCCCCTCCGTCTAACTCGGCTCCTGGACCACGTAGCGACACGCGGTAAGCGACAATCGAAAGAGCGTCAAAAATAAAGAGGAAACACTCGGTCATTGTAAGGTCAGGGCAAAGGTCAGGTCACCAGGGTTCATCAAAGGTCAAATTTTGTTGATTTCAACGATTTCGAACACCCGACGGCTAACTCGGGAATTAATAGAGCTACAGCGGCGCGGAAAAGCGCATTCGATAGCTCTTTTAACGCTTTTAAGCCAACATGTCCTCAAATTTGACCTCAGATCAACCGTTTAGCCCCCAGAGGGCACCGCTCTGATTGACCTCAAATTTGACCTCAGATCAACGGTGTTTTCACCGCTCTAGCACGTCTCTGTCAAAAGTCAAAAAACTGCTGAAGACCTTTTATGTCCTAAAATGACCTCAGGGGCACACACAGGGGTCACAGGTGCAATTTTCCGATTCAGTGTGTCATGTTTACCTATGAACCGATGCTTGAGAGGGTGTAGAACGAAATTCGTCCAAAAGAGGCGCATTTCAATTTTCTCCCATCGACTTATACCTAATGGAGCAGTCGCAAAACTGACCTGACCTTAGGTCACAGACATAAAAAAATCCGAGGTATCCATTTTATAACTGTTACCCTAAGCAATTACTGAAAGTTTTAAAGTGATCGCTCAGTCGGTGTAGCTACAACAAGCTTTCGATTTTTTTCTGAGGTAAGGTCACAATAAGGTGAGAGGATTGAGGTAGGCTTGTATCGGATTTTCTTCTGCTTGTCGGTAGTTTAGGTTGAAGTTAATTTCGCGAGCTGTCCATAATCATTCAAGAGGAAAAATTCAGCTGCATATCGTTCGGGTCAAAGTAATACCAAACATTCTCAAATTTTATAGTAAAGAGCCAGTAGTCTACGAATATATTCAAAAAACAATTAGAAAAAGAATAAGCGGACCGGTTTCGTCTATCAAAGACTTCTTCAGCGCTTTTTTCAAAAACGTATAAGAAGAAAACTAGTACAGTGACAATCGTTTGAAATAAAATTGGATTCAGTAAGAACTAAGAACTTCATTGTCCGAAAACCGCTGACAGTTGATAGCTCAATGACATTTAGAGCCGTGCATAAGGAGGCGTGAAAACACTCCTCATCTAGTTCTATTACGAGAGGACCATGTCATGGCGTGAGAAAGGTGTTTTCAAAATAAATGACACTGTATGAGTGAATAAATATTCCGGGCCCCCTTGGGCTATTGGCGGACTCTGCCACCTGATCGGGTGGTGCAGCCGTTTCGCCCTCCACCTGAGATCTCGGAAGGTTACCGACAGATTTTAAACATTCAAAGAGCGTTTGATAGCCCCACCAGGGAACTACCTTGTTACCAGGTTTCGTTGACCTAGGTGCAACCCATGACGTCACAAGTCAGGTCAAAGGTCGCATTTTTTCACCGATTTAGTCTAAGGAATGCGTTACAGTCAGTTAACACATCAAATAAAAGGCATGTTATCGAAAAACATCGATGGAGCGTTGGTTGTCTAATACATATGTTGCCTAAAGAGGTCATTGATGCCAGGTCAGTTCACAGAAGTCAGGACTCAGGTCACTAAGGGTCACAATATGAACCCAACTATGCTAGGGTCGTGTGATACATGTTTTATGGCCAATTTTACATTTAAAATTCAATGGTGTGAGCTAGACGGCCACTGGGGCCAGTTTAGATTACATTCTGGCGGAGGTCAGGTCAAGGTCAGGTCAAAGAAGGTCAAATTTCAAAGTTCATATTTTGCATAAAGGGATATCTATTCGATGCAGCTCATCACAGGAAATCCAATGGTGGCCTTTGGCTCGCTTTGTGTGTTCTGTGACGGCAAAAAAAAAAAATGAATTAAAAATTTTACGTAATAAATTTTGAGTAGTTTTTTGCCATAACTTTGCTAAAAATGGAGCTATCGAGTTTAAGTTTGGCATATCTAGAGCAGATAGTTCTATCACATCTATTCCGGTTTAATTTTGAAAGTTGTTGGTATTTTCGGGTGTTATACTTCTATAGTTTGGATGGTCAAAATCAATTTTTGTTTGGAAATAAGAGTAAGCAGTTTGGTAGCCTGTTTATTTTACATCTTTTTTATCTTGAATATTTTTCGTTATCTTCAAAACTGTAAGCGTGACAGCTCTTCCCGCTAAACCTTTTATTGGGTCGAAAATGACAGAACATGGCATCCCTCTCACGTCATTTGTGACTAGCCTTTCATAAGAGCTCTGGAAAATTTTGGTCACAAGGTGTAAAAATGATGCCCGGAGGGTTCTTGAAAGTTTGGTGGCGACATTTGCTATACTTTAGGAGATATCGACTGAAAAGGAGAGGGGGCCGTTTCGCGCCGCCCTCCCCCTCAACGGGGCTTTCAGTTGCTGCTCTCACAGAACTCTTGGTTATATTACAACGTAGTGGAATTGCAAGTGGCAACTGGCAATATAAGCTTCCTGCACGCGCCGGACCAGAGTTTAAACATGCAGGCTTAATTTTAACATTTAACTTTTGAATTGTTAAACCGTTGAGCGTTTTAGAAGTTGTATGAACTGTTACTGTTCAGCTCTTTTTTTGGTCCATCACAGCGGGCTTGTATGTATGTCATTTGTCAACCAAAATCGAATTAAAAACTTTTTATTTGGTCTGGCTACCTCGCCAACTTCTTAACTGGATCGTTTAGTAGCTTTTGAGTGGGCACTGCCCACGTTGTCTGTCTAGCTTTTCGTGTCATAGACACTGTCTATGACACGAGAAGAGGCTGCTGACATCGTTTGTCGCGGTTGGATAATACCAATCCACGTCTCAGTGGCTGCTCGATCGCACCTTCCCTGGCCCACCTCTCCCACCAGGCGAGACTTTGCCCGGCACAGCCGTCGCCTCAGTGCCTCGGGCGGTGACCCGTTCAAAGGGGCTCACAATTCGTATGGTGCCGTGGCTCTCAAACCAATACAGAACAGTGAAACGCAAAGGCTCACTTTCCATATAAGGCGAACGGCTGATTCTGGCGCCGGGGCTTCATTCATGCTAAGGCGCCCAATCACAGCGCCGCATTTCAGTTAGTGTCGGGCGCAAAAGCTACTATGCTCCGCCCCTCCATCACGTGACCCTGCCCTCACGTGGCCTCAGTCACGTGGTGTTTCCACTTCTTGGCGCATGGCGGCGCTAGTCTCGCAGGGGCGGTGGTAGCTTGCTCCCCCGCCGTCCGGGGGTGATGGGTAGCAACTGCTGGTGACTGTACATCGTCGAACAACATGTTCCATGATAGGTGGGAGGTAAGCAGGGATGTGCTTGACTCATGAGTCGAGTCAGAGATTTGACTCAACTCTGACTCAAATGAGTCAGGTTTGAGTCGAGTCGGATAAAATGTTGAGCTGTCGAGTTGAGTCAGAGTTGAGTCAGACATAAATATAAAGGTGTTGAGTTGAGTCAGAGTCGAGTCAGTAAAATAACTTTTGACATTGAGTTGAGTCAAAACATTTAGGAACATGAGTCAGCTGACTTATCTTTCTAGAAACAATATATATATAAGCTTTTCATTCTCCCCCCGCTTAACAACTTAGGCCTGGAGCTGCTGCCAGATTTTTTCACCCCCCCCCCCCCCCCGCTCAACAACTTTTTTATCTGAGTCAATTTTGAGTCAACACACTTGACTCAACGAAAAATGTGAGTCAAGTTTGAGTCAACTCACATTTTCATTGAGCCGCTTGAGTCATGAGTCGAGTCAAGGGAACAAAATCAGCTCCTTGTTTGAGTCAGAGTTGAGTCAAGGCTTTCTGAAGTTTAGTGATGAGTCGAGTCGGCAAATTTTTTTTAGTCGAGCACAACCCTGGAGGTAAGACTGGCAAAAAAGGCCGAAATCAATGTGTCAAAAGCTCACAAGACCAACGCAAGATATTAGGTAGTAGTCCCATGCATTAGGGTCAGGGCTGCGGAGTCGGAGTCGGAGTCGGAGTCGGAGTCGATTTTAAAACCCGAGCCGGAGTCGGAGTCGGAGTCACCGAAAATCTGTCGACTCCGCAGCCCTGCTAGGTCTGCGGAGTCGGAGTCGGGAGTTGGAGTCGGTCGGAGTCGACAATTCTGCCCGGAGTCGGAGTCGGAGTCGGAGCTGGTTTTTGAAAGCCGGAGTCGGAGTCGGAGTCGGAGTCGCCGAAAATCCATCGACTCCGCAGCCCTGATTAGGGTAGGTGTCAAGGTCACCGGAAGGTCAGGTCAGGTCATTGACCTTTGATACCTCGGTTCACTTTTTCGAATTTTTAATGTTTCTAGGCTAGTTTTTGGCGCTGAATTCGAATCAAGCAATCATTTGAACATTTACGATGTATTTTGGTGCCTTCGTAACATGTTCCGAAGCTGTCAGAGGCGGTTGCCAACTACTACGAATACCCGGCAAAACCATTACTGGTTGACCTGACCCGACGTGGCCTAAATGTATGAAGACATCATCTATGATCATAACTAACATTATAATCGTGATCAGTACCCCGAAAAAAACCAGAGCAGCCACCCTTTACGACGTTCTAACAGGTCCCGACTCCCGATTTTCCCGATTTTTGGGTCACTGACCTGACCTGGGACCTGACCTGGAAGGTCAACCGATGGGTACTTAAAATTGGGTATCTCGACTTCCTCTCGTCACGGGCAACACGCTCACGGACTCCCCCCCCCCCCCCCCCCCCTTATACGTTCCCGGCTGGCAAAACACCAATACGGGCGAGGGTTAAAGGGAAACAACTCGGGTTGACGGATCTTCAGAAAGGAAAAATCAAACGCCCGGCCATGACCTCACTGTTGGGGTCCTCAAACTGAATGGAATAGTTCGCCGAGCCGCCGCTGCCCATGACGCGATACTTTCAAGAGAGACTATACACCAGGCGGCAGCTGATCTCCTGCGAGCAGCCGGCAGACAGCAATGACACCTGACGGCCGCAGTCGGAACTAGAGCTGCGCAAATGCTCCCACCATATTCACACAGTAGGCGCTCCATGTCCTCTAGGCTCTAGCGCTTCAGGAACTAAAGACGCATTAAAATATATAAACAAACGATGTTTTACAATGTAGCCAAATATCCTGGCATATGAAAAATGATACTATTTTTGACATGATGCAAAACACTTCGAAGGCATACACATCCGAACGCGATCCAAGCTCGATAGGCTGAAATAGCTACCTTCGGTCGTGACCCGAGTCCATAGAAGTTTACGCAGCCGGCATTTACGCTGGGCAACGAATGGGCCCCAGTCGGCCATACGCTGGGCAGCGATTGGGCAGCCCGTCTGGGCCCCAAGTGGCTGTTGTTCTGTTGCTGTCCATCAATCAGCCGATAACATGTCAGCTACGTCCATCTTCATTGTATCTATGGCGCTCATGAACGCTACCGATTTTTATGTGGATAAATAACCTACGAGTTTCGCCACCTATGCCTCGCACTGAAATGTATAAACGTGGTTATATTTCTCTGTAAAGGGGCGATCTGTTAATTTTGACGAAATGTTATGAGAGATGCCGAAATTGGCATGGGGATGTTTTGGTGAACGTCGAAGGGATACTAACGAATGACGAAGCATTTATCCAAATAGTCAAAGGTTCTGCCGGAACTCAATCAGTTATGGCGAATAGCGAAGGTTATACCAACTGACAAACTGTGGATTGGGATCAGCATTCCGTTTTGCCCATATGCTGAAGGTTTTGCCGGAATGCCTCTCACTTGCGCCACCTATGTGCTGATGGGACGAATGGGTTTAGGCCAATTGGCCATCGAACAACGCTAAAAGGTGTAGAACGGACTGAATAATGCGTCTGTCGCCGGCTCAGCGTCCATCTCTACACACGACCAGATGGTCCAGCAGCCACTAACGACTGGGAGGGAAGGGGGCTGAGTTGAGATCACGCTCACCCGTCGCTTCGATGAGCTGGCTCTCCGCCGCGCTCCGCTGCTGCAGCTGCTGCTGCTGCCGCTGGACCTGCTGGCACAGCTGGCTAGAGGTCGTCGATGGGGGCCGCGGAGGCGTTGGCGAGGGGATCTGAAAACGTTAGATCGTGCACGTGATTCTGAGCTTGCCAATCGATGAATAAGTGCGAGAACCGTAGATTAATAACGTCAAAACGTTCATCAAGTATCAAAGTATTATTGATCTGTCTCCATCCAGAACTAAAACTACTCGGAGCGCTGGTTACGTACTGCGGCTACCACCCAGTCACGTACCCTGGCGGCGGCGGTGGTCCGCCGGCTCAGCCGGCTGCTCGGGCTGGTCGTCTGCCGCACGGAGCCCGCCCCGGCTCACAGTCGGGCTCCGTCTGGAGCGACCCCCGTCAGCCGGCTGGGACCGGCCCCCGTCGGCGACTCGAACCGGGACGGCGGCGTGGGCGAGCGGCCGTGGCCGGCGGCGGCCCGGCGCTGCCAGCGCCGTACTCCACCCGCCGGGCCGCCAGTGCGCCGGTGCCGCCCTCTAGGGCGCTCTCGTAGTCTGTTCCCGTATCTCATTGCAGACAAACTTGGACGGCACTGGCGGCGAGGGGGCGACGGCCGTCCGCAGCAGCCTGCTGAGGTGAACCGCTGAGCTCCGGCTGGCTCAGCGGCCCGCGGCGCCGGCCAGTGAGCCAGCGGGCACGGCCGAGTCTGGCGCCGCCGCCCCCAGAGCCGCGGCACCATCCTTCTGCAGCAGACACACACAGACAGACACACATTCACAGCCTCTGAGAAATGCAGACATAGCCTCACAGGCCGCCCGTTCGGGCTCTAATGCAGATGACAACGATAACCCGCGCGGGGCTGGGGTCTCCATCCGAACGCGCGGGGCTGGGGGGGGGGTAAATTTTACCCCCCCCCCCCCCTGTTATCTCCCGAACTAATGATTTGGAAAATTCGAAGGCCAATCGAAAGATCTCATCACGAACAACTAAAAACATGTACTTAATTTAAAGTTTGAGGTCAAAGTCAAGGTCAGGTCAAGGGTACAAATTGCAAGTTTCTACAGTATCGGCCTTGCACCGTAGTTGCCGAAGAATGGAGTCATGGACTGAGACTGATTGCCCAAAACGTGTTTTTAGGCTACCAAGACAATATTCGTTGCATACAATATCATTCAGAGGTCAAGGTCAAGATCAAGGTCAGGTCAGGTCAGGTCACCAAAAACAAAATATAGAAAAGGGCATGTGCGACACATGTTTTATGGGTTATTTCACTCATAGAATTCAATAGGCACACTCAATAAGTGATATGGACCACCTCTGGATGAATTTCAGGTCGAGGTCAGGTCAAGGTCAGGTCAAGTGAGGTCAAATTTTGAAGTTGGTTGTTAAGGCCTAAAAAGGTGTCTATCTGATGCAGTTTTTCACGGCAAATCAAATGGTGCTATTTTTGCTTCCGTACGAGGTCTAAAACATCCAAGAAAATCATTTTTCAAATTTTGTGTGTGTCGTGACGTCATAAAATTTTGAATAACTCCCACATTTTTGAACCGATTCTTCTAAAAATTGGTATGTAGGTGCACATAGACCACTTCTCTGACATATATTCCGGTTTTTTCGATACACTCAAAATTGGATTTTATAACTGTTTTCCCAAAAGTCAGTTTTTTGAAAAAATATTTGGGCCAAAATCCAAAATTTTCAAAAAACCGAGATAACCATTTGATAGACAAAGTAGAATTACGTATAACCTTTTTTGTTAAGTCTTGATTCCTTTAAAATGAAGATGTTAGCGGCGTTTGAAATTTTGCCGTTTTTGAGGCGAAAATGGCGAACATAACGTCACTAAAACGTCAATTTCTCAAAAATTGTCCGACAGATTTCGCTCAAATTTTCAGGGAACGTGTCAAATTGATGTAAGAAAAGGTACTGAAAGTTTGGCGGCGCTACGCGCCGCCGTTTTTGAGATATTGCCAAAATTCGCGAGGGGGGGTAAAATTTACCCCCAAGCCCCGCGCGGGTTAACTTCTTAACGGGTGGGAGCTCGCACTGAAAACGAGCCCTTAACAGCGACTTCATTCAGTTGGCAGAGCTCGATGGGAAACTTGGGCTGCTCCACAGGTCAGCCATGAGCAGCACTCAGTGGAGACAGCACACACCGGACAGTCCGGGCAGCGGACTCAGACAGGACAGCAGACTCAGACTGGGTATCAGACACGGACCCTAAATCAGACAGGGGCCAGACAGCGGACACAGACAATACTTCAAGGGTCTGAATGTGTATGCTTATCAAGTCAGTTCATTGATTTTCATGCTAAATCAGTCGGGAACACTCCATGGAATTCTATTTTAATTATTTTTGTATATTGGGAGCCACTCTCGATTTCGTTCAAAATCGCCACACAGGTGTCCCACCACCAGACGAAAAACGTTTCATATCCCGCTACTTTCCATGACTCACAGCTCCGCCCGGTCTCGATGGGACGTCGCCGCCCTGACCCGAGATATGCTGCGCGCGCCGCCGGACCGGTCATCAGTCGCTGCCGCCGCTGACGCCAGTGTCCGAACAGCTCCAAACACTTTCCGGCCCTGTATAGCAGGATGTAAGCATCAGAGGCGGGAACGATCAATGCAGGGATGTAGAACATTCACAATGGACTTCACTGCCTGCATGAAGTGCAACAGGATCAGAAGCCAGTCCGTGTCCAACTGGGTCCGTGATATCCAAGTGTCCGTGTCCTTGAGCACGTCTCCGGCCGGCGGGGCTGACCCGGCCGTGTGTGACGTGACGCCCCGCCGGCCGGTCCTACCCCCACACCGGCCGGCGCCGTCACCTGGCGGCCGCCGGGGGCGCAGCGCCCCCACGGCGCCGAGCCCGGCCTGGGCAGCGGGCGGACGTCCCGCGGAGGATCACCGGTCGGCATTTACAGAGCGGCGCCGCCTGCCCTCCCCAGTGCCGTCCTCTCGTCCGCTCTGCTCCCCGCTCAGCGCCCACTCAGTTCGACCAGCTGAGCCACGGCGCACAGCAGAAACGCCGCTCTGGGTCCTACCCTACCGAAAAAGGGAAATCAATCTGAATTGGCTCCAAACGGATTTTCACTGTCCCGTCATCATAACGGCGGTTTAACCCTCGCCCGTATTGGTGTTTTTTCCAGCCGCGAACGTATAAGGGGGGGGGGGGTCGGACCCCCCCCTTGCTGTTTCGCCCCTGATCGAGCTAGAGCTTCGCGGAAAAAAACGAGCGTGTTGCCCGTGACGAGAAGAAGTCGATGATACCTAATTTTAAGGTCCTAGGTCATTGGTTGACCTTGCAGGTCAGGTCAATGACCCAAAAGTCGGGAAAATCGGGACCTGTTAGAACGTCGTAAAGTGTGGCTGCCACGGGGTTTTTCGGGGTGCTGATCACGAATATCATGTTAGTTTTGATCACAGATGATGTCTTCGTGCATTTAGTCCAGGTAGGGTCAGGTCAGGTCAGGTCATGACCAGTAGGGGTTCTGCCGGGTATTCCTAGTAGGTGTCAACCGCCTCTGACAGCTTCGTAACATGTTACGAAGGCACCAAAACTACTTCGTAAATGTTCAAATGGTTGCTAAATTCTAATTCAGCTGCAAAAACTGGCCTAGAAACATGTAAAACTCGAAAAAGTGAACCGAGGTCATCAAAGGTCAATGACCTGACCTGACCTTCAGTGACCTTGACACCCACCCTAACGCATGGGGGCAACATCATATCACGTTTGAACGCTTGAAACCACGAAAAGACTGCAAACGCGCGGCTAATGCGAGCCGACATACGCCGAATCGCGATTCCGGCCAAACATGGTCTCGAAAAGTAGGTCACAGGTCAAAGGTCATTGGGGTCAGGGTCATGAAATTTTCAGAGTAGGTGTATAATTGATTAACGCGAGAGTACTGAAAGTTTCGTCGCGATCGGCCGCTTCTTACGCGAGTTATTCGCGAAAAACCATGGGGGGGGTCCGTTCGACCCCCCCCCCCCCCTATACGGGCGAGGATTAAAATGGATGGTGTTGTATGAACTATTTAATGAAATTATGAGATATCATGGTTCGTAAGGTCAGCCGTCGATTCCGGCGTGTCTCTGCCGTCAGTCGTCAGATCCTGTGAGCTCATTGATCCAGGATATTTTTTCACGCCGGATCCGGTGGGATCATAGATTCGAACCTGCAGTTTGCTTAGAGATCCAATGAGATCATAGATCAATCACTCGGATCCATGCACATTGCACGTCTGGTCTGGTCATGGTTATACGTGACCCAAGGTCACTGTCCTGGTCATATGTGTGTATTGAATGGTTGATAAGTACACATGTCAGGGCCAAGAAAAAAAGTCAATTTTTCTTTTCCATTTTTGACATTAAAAGGCACTTTTCTAGACGACCTTTGTCCCAGGAATCTAATGCTGCCATTTATTTTCACATGCGATGTTCAGAAGTGCCTAAAAAAACACGAAAATGCTCATGACGTCACCATGCCCTATACATGTTGGAGCTATTTTTTACAATTTGGGGGTAAAAATCAAGATAGAAAGTGGAAATTTGGAACATGGAATGTTCAAATAGGTCTCTATAACATATATTCCGTTTTTTTTTTTTAATTTTGAAAATTTTGGAATCTAGTAACAGTCATCCAAAAACTGTTTTGAATTTTTAGGGGTGAAAACGCATTTTATGAGAAATGCGAGATGGCCATTTTAAAGAACTCATTGAGCTACGTTTATTCATGTCCTTAATTTTGAACTTTGCTTTAAAACTTGATCTTTTGCGATTTTCAAACACTTATCATTTTGACGAAAAAATCCATATATTTCAATCAATAAAATAGACATACCTATCACATTTTTTTGCAAAATTTATATAAAATGACAAATGATGTAAAATTAATAACCGAGAAGGTGTACGAAGTTTCAAGTTGATAGCGTAAGCGGTTCGTTAGTTATTCCAGAAAAATAGAGGGGGGTCGGATCCGCCCCCCCCCCCCCCCCCCCGGCGGTCACGGGCTAACGTGTCCGTGTCAGCACCATTAGACCCAACATTACGAGCGCAAAATGATCACCGCAGTCAACGTGCTCTAAAGCCCTAATAAACAAACAAAAAGACCCGTCAGATGAGGTGACGGGCCCGGCGGACGGTCACCGTCTACTTACCCCGCTGCGGCGACAGGGTGGACGCGATCGGAACCAAATCGGAACAGACTGCCGGTCGGAGTATCAGAGTCCGCCCCAGAATTGCCCCAGAATACAACCGCCAACATAAGAGCCGGCCAGCCTCGGGCGAAGGGACGCGCGGCCCGCAGCCACCGCCGTCAGCACAGAATCGCCCCCGGGGGGGACGGGGGGAGGGGGGCAGCGGGATAGGTGGATACGAGATGCAATGTCATGATACGCGCTTCTTTGAACAATGAGCATGGCTTTTAGGTATCATTTTTGTTAAATACCTATCAATCATCACAGCATTTGATCAATAGCAGAACATTGCATTGAATATAAATTTGACTGTAGCAACGTTAAATGACAATTTGGACCACGGTCCATGATAGAAGTAGGGCTAGAACCAGACAATTGCTCAAATATTTATAAGTGAGGGATGTGCATGTTTGACGAAAAGAAATCCAGTCGATGATTATACTTGAGAAGTTGAGCACGGAAAAGCTGGTCGGCTGTCGTCATTCGAGTTTCTTCCGACCGCTTTTCGGTAAGACAGCTCATCGACCCATCGACCGCCTATTGCTATTGGGAGGGGGGCGGGGGGGGGGGGGGGGCAGGGGGTTCTGTTTTTGATAGCCGCACCAATCGCCGTCCAATAAACTTTGAAGATTCATGTCACGACACTGAATGCATTAAAGGAAATAGTTCACTTTTAACATGGGGTTTGAAACTGGAATAGCAGTTTTGTTGCTTGCGCTGAGACTAGCACAAATCAGAAGCTTTTACGGCCCAACGATCACCCTAGACGAAGATATTCCATTTTTCGTTCCGAAAAGAGTGCCTTGCAGAGGAATGCGTGCCTTGCTGAGGAATGCAGTCACGTCATCGTCAGCCAATCAGAATGCTGCTTACAGCCGATGGGTTTGTCCTACGCAATATGATTGGTCAACGCGTAATAAGCTTCCGCGTCAAACATTATTTTATATAGAATATAGTTCTTCTTATACTAAAATATAGAAAATAATCCTTTTTACAAAAGCGTTTTGTTTTATTTTCTGATCATTTTGAGCATAAAAAACATAAATCCATAGCAAAATACTAATTTCAGGAAAGTGAACTATTTCCTTTAACCCTCGCCCTGGCAGGGCATTTTTCATAACACGGCCTGGCGGGGGGGGGGTCGATGCGACCCCCCCTCGCGATTGGCTCCTATGGCACCTAGAAACACCAAATTCGGTAGGTAGGTGGGCCCCCTGGAGTTCTCGCCCCTGTGCAAATTTGGTTGCTCTAGGTCAATATTTAGGGGGGTTTTGGGGGGTATAAATGTAAAAATTTCGCTAAAAACAGGTCAAAAGTTTTTCGCTTATAACTTTTGATCTACTTAAGATAGAGCAAAAGGAAAAGCACCAGTGAACTCAGCACGTCAAGGCGCGTCGAATGATATGCTTTTTAGCTTGCTTAAGTGTACTTAAAGTTTTTGTTAAATTTTAAGTAAACTTAAATTAATAAATTAAGTTAAAGTTAACCAAATTGCATCATATAGCATATCATTCGATTCGGCTGATCACCAGGAACACAATGGTACCATTTTTTAAGCTCTAGCGTCATTATGTGCCAAGTTATTGGCAAAAACGTCATTTGACCTCAGTTGACCTCATTTGACCTGACCCATGGATAAGTACACCAAACAAAGAAGCACCAAGTGACCTGCTGTTGAGTACTGTGGTTTCAAAGCACAAAAGTGATAGAACGAAGCGGATATCTCCAGTATTTTCCGAATTTAGTATTTTCCCATAGGCTTAACATTACGACGTAATGACCTCTAACTGACCTCAGGTCAGTGACCTCAAAAAACCCGAACTATATGTTATACAACTCGGTGAACTTAGCACATCCTGAAAGTTTGAAGGAAATCAGTGCAAAACTGTGAGTTGGACAGGTGCAAAAAGAAATTTGACCATGACCTTGTACCGGTTTTTCTGACCTGGTGACCTGACCTAAGGTTACCCGGACCTGAAATTTTCAGGTCATATGTAAAAAGGTTGCCCCATAGGCTGTGCCAAATTTGGCGGCGCTGCGCGCCGCCGTTTTTACGCTATCTTCGAAAAACCTTAGGGGGGGTCGCATCGACCCCCCCCCCTGCCAGGGCGAGGGTTAACTCGGCAGAAAAACGTCATATTTGTTAATTGTCTTCGTGTAAAGCAAGTTGAAACCACCACAAAAAAAAATCGGACACCTATGCAAGCGCAAGACGAAAATCTGCTATCACGGTAGGCACTTCGCAACATCATGATACCAAAACTACACATGAATGCACCAGTCGAATCATCATTAGCGGAAAATTTCACTCATAGGCATAACTTTAAACTTACCTATAAATTGCAGGCACGCTTATGAAGGTTAGCTTGTTGCTCGTATTTGATTCTATCACGACTCTTCAGTCAGTCATGGAATATCAAAACAGAAAAATTCCATCGTTGATAGCCCGCCGGGTCAATGAACGTAAACAATGCACGTGACGTCTCCGCTCCGTTGCCCATTTCGAGGTCAGGCGGCTGTGGGCCGACCGGGGGCGGCCGCTGATTGGTCAGAATAAGCGGCCACCTGATTGGCGGAGCGGTGACCGGGCGGCCCCCTGATAGGTCGCCGCCGACCGGGCCGCTTCAGAATACGCGCCGTCAAAGTACAGTGAAATGTGTGATAAATCGATTGCAAAAATATCTGATTATCTCACAGGGAGGGGGTATCTAGTGCATTCACCCCTTCGGTAGCCTCCTAAATCGTTCAAAATTTGTCGCTTTCCGTTAATTGACAACAAAACAGCAATTTTTAGAAGAAAGGGTCTTGCTTTCACGATCTCAGCGACGCATGAGGTACCCAAATTGGAGGAGTCTGGATAATTTGGGACGATTTTTTGGGAGAGAATGCCCTGCAATGTGCAGTACTCCCTTTCAGCATCAGCCAGTGTACGATTAAGACACAATTAGGCCGAACAATTGGCTGCAAACCTATGCTAATAATCAGCAGTTGCCAAAACACGGACACCCGATGAACAACCAAACTCGGTCGGCCGGTCTCTCAGCCGGCCATACCTATACGCCACAGCTGGTGGATACGCGTCGGGCGGCCGGCGGGGGGGGGGCGGCGGCCGGGGGGGGCGGGGCAGCGGGAGGGAAGAGCGTATTTGGCCGCGCCAGTTTATGTCGAAAAGCAAATTAGATAAGAAGACCGAACGAAAACGCCCAAAGGGTAGCTTCGTTCGAATTCAGAATCCAGTTTTTCACTCGGTCAGTCAGCCCTCGCTCTTCGGCAGACATGTGCATGGATTCCAGTGATGGATCTATGATCTCAGACCTCAGTGGATCTCGAAACAAACTGCAGATTAGGATCTATCAGGCGACCGGATCCGGTATGAAAAGTCTGTCCTAGATCTATGATCTCATAGGATCTGATGATAGGAATCAAGAATATGCAACTATGATCTGAGTGGATCCCACCATGCACAAAATTTGAAACCAAGTTTCCAAGTGTTTCTACGTCAATTAGTGCCACAAAACTATGGATTGGGACAAACATATCGGAATTTTGATATCGGTGATCTAAGATCAGAGGCCATTTATTCAAATACACAGTTAAAAAACAGAGCTTTCGGTAATAAATACCTACCTTGATCAAAGTATTTATTACCGAAAGCTCTGCTTTTTTAAATGTTAAAAAATATTTTAATATATTGTCGTTTTATATATAGATCAGAGGCCAGTTTTACCAACAGAAAAATAGCCGCCTGCCGGCATTGTTTGCCTAAAGACCGCTTCACATACGGAGCGTAAACAGGGGTGGAATATTAGGAATTTTGGGGGTGCTCGAGCAACCCCTGAAATTCAAAGGTCACCATATAATAGCACTCCAGTGGTTGCTTAAATTACGTCTGAGACCGAACTGCTTTGCGTAACTCGCGAGGAGAGTGATACTGTTGGGAAAGCGTCCCTGTTATGTGCTTTTCTATGCAAGAATTCGACGCTTCCATTCGACAGGTGCTGGAAAAGCACCCCCTGGGATTATGACAATTCTCCGCCCATGAGCGTAAACACGATGAGCACGTAAGCGGATAGGGCTTTAAGTCTTTACTGTTTCACTCTGTATGTGAAGCAATGCAAAAGCCAGGCATCGGACCTAACAAAGAAAATGCATGCAGTCTTGATCAACCTGCTTCAAACGGTTATGTATCAACTCCGGCACCCAGCTGCCGGCTGCGCCACAAGTCGAACTCGAAGCGGCCAGAGTAGCCGCTCCTCTCCCTAGATGGCTCTAGTAGTACAGCGCCTGAACTCCCGCTGTGCCGCAAGACACGAGCCCGGGTCTGGCAGCGGCCAGCGGTCGCCTTCAATGGGCTATTGAGCGATGTAGTTAGATATGCAATGCGCAATATTCTGCGATCAATGCCGGCAGGCTAACTCTAATCAGGTGGTACGAACAGTCGGCTATACCTACGGTACTAGGGCCTGTGTTGAGTTCATCACTTTGATCCTGCAGTGCTACCTGTTCGGCACAATAGGAAATGCGAGCATCCCCACCGTGGCAGTGCACAAGACACGGACCGTCGTACCAGCTGTGGCCACACTGCAGGTCCTCGGGAATACGTGCCCCCGATCGGCGCCCTCGAGCCCCCCCCCCCCCCCACGGTGAACCAGCGCCGCGCGCCGTCACCGCGGCTCTCCAGTCTTCCGTGGCCACCCTTCATCCGTCCGGATCCTCTCTATATTCCACCGCCACCGACAGACTCGTTCCCTGGATCGGTGGCTCACTCCGTGCCTGGCGGCGGCGGCGGTCCGCCGGCTCAGCTGGCTGCTCGGGCTGGTCGTCTGCCGCACGCAACCCGCCCCGGCTCACAGTCGGACTCCGTCTGGAGCGCCCCCCGTCAGCCGGCTGGGACCGGGCCGCCGCCGGCGACTCGAACCGGGACGGCGGCGTGTGAGAGCGGCCTCGGCCGGCGGCGGCGGCCCGGCGCTGCCGGCGCGGTACTCCACCCGCCGGGCTGCCAGCGCGCCGGTGCCGCACTCTAGGGCGCTCTCGTAGTCGGTTCCCGTATCTCATGGCAGACAAACTCTGGCAGACGGCACTGGCGGCGAGGGAGCGACGGCCGTCCGGCCACGGCTCGGTTGACACGCCAGGGCACCGCCGGAGTCGGCCGCTTCTGGCCAGACGTCTGGTGACTGACTGACAGACGTGTCCTGCTGGCCTGCTGAGGTGAACCGCTGAGCTCCGGCTGGCTCAGCGGCCCGCGGCGCCGGACAGTGAGCCAGCGGGCGCGGCCGAGTCTAGCGCCGCCGACACCATCCAGAGCCGCGACACCATCCCTCTGCAGCAGACACACACAGACAGACACACAGTCACAGCCTCTGAGAGATGCAGACATGTCCTCACAGGCCACCCGTTCGGGCTCTAATGCAGATGACAACGATAACTTCTTAATGGGTGGGAGCTCGCACTGAAAAAGAGCCATTAACAGCGACTTCATTTGCGCAACGTCTGTTGGCAGAGCTCGATGGGAAACTTGGGCTGCTCCACAGGTGTCAGTACTGAGCAGCATTCAGTGGACGCCGCACACACCGGACAGTCCGGGCAGCGGACTCACACAGGACAGCAGACTCGGACTGGGTATCAGACATAGACTCAAAATCAGACAGGGGTTAGACAACGGATACAGACAATACTTCAACGGCCTGAATGTGAATGCTTATCAAGTCAATTCATTGATATTCATGCTGAATCAGTCGGGAACACTCAGTGAAATAATCAATTCCCATTTTAATTATTTTGGTATATTGGGAGCCCCTCTCGATTTCGTTCAAAATCGCCACACAGGTGTCCCACCACCAGACAAAAAACTTTTCATATCCCGCTACTTTTCATAGCTCACAGTCTCCGCCCGGTCTCGATGGGACGTCGCCGCCCTGACCCGAGATATGCTGCGCGCGCCGCCGGCCCGGTCATCAGTCGCCGCCGCCGCTGACGCCAGTGTCCGAACAGCTCCAAACACTGTCCGGCTCTGTATCGCAGGATGTAAGCATCAGATGCGGGAACGATCAATGCAGGGACGTGAAACACTCACGCGAAGGGGGTGATACTGCCGTCCACAATGGGTTCTGGAAGGGCTACCTCTCAGCAAAATCATAAAGATCTCATAGACCCGGAGCAAAATTAGCTGGCGATTCAAACGGCGATTCAGAACACGTACAAGTCATTGTCTCTATGGAAGATTTAGCCATTTGCAATATTAGCTGTGTTGCCAGCATTGCTAAAAAAAATACCCGGCACCGTACCGGCACGTTACACAGCGGTGTAGCGTGTGGTTTTACAATGTTCGCCTCCCCGTAATAGCACGGATCACGCGCTGCCACACATACCGGCCGGCGGCGCTGACCGGGGTGGCCGCGGCTGACCGGTATATAGGGCCTGGGGCTGACCCGCCGCCCACGGCCGCAGTGCCCGTATGTATGTATGTACACCAGGCGGCAACTGATACTCCTGCGAACAGCCGACAGACAGCAGTGACACCTGACGGCCGCAATCGGAACTAGAGCTGCGCAAATGCTCCCACCATCACACAGTAGGCGATCCATGTGTTCTACAACATGTGTAGGCTCTAGCGCTTCAGGAACTAAGGATACATAAATTAATATATAAACAAACGATGTTTTACAATGTAGCCAAATATCCTGGCATATGAAAAATGATACTATTTTTGACATGATGCAAAGCACTTCGAAGGCATACACATCCGAACGCGATCCAAGCTCGATAGGCTGAAATAGCTACCTTCGGTCGTGACCCGAGTCCATAGAAGTTTACGCAGCCAGCATTTACGCTGGCCAACGAATGGGCCCCAGTCGGCCATACGCTGGGCAGCGATTGGGCAGCCCGTCTGGGCCCCAAGTGTAGCTGTTGTTCTGTCGCCTGTCCACCAATCAGCCGATAACATGTCAGCTACGTCCATCTACATTGCACCTATGGCGCTCATGAACGCTACCGATTTTTATGTGGATCAATGGTCTACGAGTTTCGCCACCTATGCCTCGCACTTAACTGTATAAACGTGGTCATAACTCATATTTATATGTATATCTCTGTAAAGGGGCGATCTGTTTTTAATTTTGACGAAATGTTATGAGAAATGCCGAAATTGGCATGGGGATGTTTTGATGAACGACGACGAAGGGATATTAACGAATGACGAAGCATTTATCCAAATAGTCAAAGGTTCTGCCGCAACTCAATCAGTTATGGCGAATAGCGAAGGTAGTACCAACTGACGAGCTGTGGAGTGGGATCAGCATTCCATTTTGCCCCATATGCTGAAGGTTTTGCCGAAATGCCTCTCACTGGCGCCACCTATGTGCTGATCGGACGAATTGGTTTAGGCTAATTGGCCATCGAACAACGCGAAAAGGTGTAGAACGGACTGAGTAATGCGTCTGTCGCCGGCTCAGCGCCCAGTCCTCCACATGACCAGATGGTTCTGCAGCCACTAACGAATGGGAGGGGGGGGGGGCTGAGCTGAGATCACGCTCACCGGTCGCTTCGATGAGCTGGCTCCCCGCCGGCGCCGTGCCCCGCTGCTGCAGCAGCTGCTGCTGCCGCTGCAGTAGCTCCTGCTGCTGTTAGCTGCTGCCGCTGGACCTGCTGGCACAGCTGGCTAGAGGTCGTCGATGTGGGCCGCGGAGGCGTTGGCGAGGGAATCTGAAAACGTTAGATCAGGCATATGATTGAGCTTTCCAATCGATGAATAAGTGCGAGAACCATAGATTAATAACGTCAAAATGCTCATCAAGTAGGTAGCAAAGTATTATTGATCTGTTCTGTCTCCATTCAGAACTACTAGGAGCACTGGTTACGTACTGCGGCTACCACCCAGTCACGTACCCTGGCGGCGGCGGTGGTCCGCCGGCCTAGCTGGCTGCTCGGGCCGGCCGTCTGCCGCCCCCCCCCCCCCCCCGGTTCACAGTCGGGCTCCGTCTGGAGCGTCCCCCGTCAGCCGGCTGGGACCGGCCGCCGCCGGCGACTCGAACCGGGACGGCGGCGTGGGCGAGCGGGCGCGGCCGGCGATGGACCCGGCGCTGCCGGCGCGGTACTCCACCCGCCGGGAGCCCGGCGCGCCGGTGCCGCCCTCTAGGGCGCTCTCGTAGTCGGTTCCCGTATCTCCTTGCAGACAAACTTGGACGGCACTGGCGGCGAGGGGCGACGGCCGTCCGGCCGCGGCTCGGTTGACACGCCAGGGCACCGCCGGAGTTGGCCGCTTCTGGCCAGACGTCTGGTGACTGACTGACAGACGTGTCCTGCCGGCCTGCTGAGGTGAACCGCTGAGCTCCGGCTGGCCCAGCGGCCCGCGGCGCCGGACAGCGAGCCAGCGGGCACGGCCGAGTCTAGCGCCGTCGACACCATCCAGAGCCGCGACACCATCCCTCTGCAGCAGACACACACAGACAGACAGTCACAGCCTCTGAGAAATGCAGACAGATCCTCACAGGCCGCCCGTTCGGGCTCTAATGCAGATGACAACGATAACTTCTTAACGGGTGGGAGATCGCACTGAAAACGAGCCATTAACAGCGACTTCATTTGCGCAACTTCAGTTGGCAGAGCTCGATGGGAAGCTTGGGCTGCTCCACAGGTCAGTACCGAACAGCAGTCAGTGGAGACAGCACATACCGGACAGTCCGGGCGGCGGTGAGCGGACTCGGACAGGACAGCAGACTCGGACTGGGTATCAGACACGGACCCAAAATCAGACAGGGGCCAGACAGTGGATACAGAACAGACAATACTTCAAGGGTCTGAATGTGAATGCTTATCAAGTCAGTTCATTGATATTCATGCTAAATCAGTCGGGAACACTCCATGGAGATTATCAATTTCCATCTTAATTATTTTGGTACATTGGGAGCCCCTCTCGATTTCGTTCAAAATTGCCACACAGGTGTCCCACCACCAGACAAAAAAGAAAATTCATATCCCGCTACTTTTCATAACTCACAGTCTCCGCCCGTTTTCGGTGGGACGTCGCCGTCCTGACCCGAGATATGCTGCGCGCGCCGCCGGCCCGGTCATCAGTCATCAGTTTGGAGTCCGAACAGCTCCAAACATCACCCGGCCCTGTGTCGCAGGGTGTAAGCATCAGATGCGGGAACGATCAATGCAGGGACGTAGAACACTCACAATGGACTTCACTGCCTGCCTGAGTGCAACAGGATCAGAAGCCAGTCCGTGTCCGTGTCCGTGTCCAACTGGGTCCGTGATATCCAAGTGTCCGTGTCCTGAGCACGTCTCCGGGCGGCGGGTCTGACCCGGGCGTGTGGGACGTCACGCCCCGCCGGCCGGTCCTACCCCAACACCGGCCGGCGCCGTCACCTGGCGGCCGCCGGGGGCGCAGCGCCCCCACGGTGCCGAGCCCGGCCCTGGGCAGCGGGCGGAGGCGTCCCGCGGGGGATCACCGGTCGGCATTTACAGAGCGGCGCCGCCTGCCCTCCCCAGTGCCGTCCTCTCGTCCGCTCTGCTCCCCGCTCAGCGCCCACTCAGTTCGACCAGCTGAGCCACGGCGCGCAGCAGAAACGCCGCTCTGGGTTCTACCCTACCGATAAAAGTGAAATCAATCTGAATTGGCTCCAAACGGATTTTCACTGTCCCGTCTTTCATCATAACGGCAGTTTAAAATGGATGGTGTTGTATGAACTATTTAATGAAATTATGAGATATCCTGGTTCGTAAGGTCAGCCGTCGGTTTCTACGTGTCGCTGCCGTCAGTCGTCTGCGCTCGGTCCCTCGGCCGTCCGTCTACCCTCCTCCCCCCCCCCCCCCCGCCGGCAGCCATGAACCCTCACCTGCAGTGCTGCTGATCGCCCTGCTGACCTCGATGGCCTACGAAAGCTCCGCCGCCGAGGGCATCTCTGCCGGCACCGCGCTGGCCATCGACGTCGCCGTCATCGGCCTCAACGTCGCCGGTGTGGCCGGCCTCGCCATCGCGCGCTCGTTGGGCGGTCGGCGCGGCGGCGGGTACGGCGGCGGGCCGTGGTCGCGCCGGCTCCCCTGTGCCCCTGAGCAGGCGACTCACTGAGCTGCCGCCCGCGCCTGCTCTACGAACTGGAGGCTGCCGAGCACGCCCAGTTGGCGCACGGCGACCGGCTCGTCCACGGCGTGTTCAGGTGCTGTCTGGTGCCGGGCCACAGCGCTGACCACCTGGGAACACGGGGGGGGGGGGGTCATAAGACGCTCTTGTTGGGCAATGCAGGGGATAACAAACACGTGAGTAACAACTGGTTGAGGTGCTTGTACGGGGTTACACATAGTCTGTTATGACAGACTATGCCAGGATAAATGCCGAGCTTAAGCCAGCAACCATCAATCATTACATCTGCCATGCCCTGCTCAATGCTCCACTCATATATGTGGTTAAGACAACAAAAGTTTTGTGTAAGCAGACATTCACTACAAGGTTATGACAATGAGATTCAGCCTTCAGGTTGTATGCTTTGGAAATCCTGTTGTAATAGGAGTAAATGTTCAAAGCCATGCCTTCCCTTTAGGCCATTTACAATAAAACATATTTCACTGCAAGGGATTGACTGGAAATGAAAGGGCATGAAGGAACACACTGGACTACTGGCGACAGTACCTGAGAGCATGAGCAGGCCGTCCACCTGGGGACTAGGTGACGCGGCCAATCCTCTCCTAGTCGTCTCACACTCCGGCATTGGCACTACAGTCCACATGCCAGCCCAGGCAAGGCCCACCATCCAAAGGCGGATGTGAGCCTGGAGGCTTCAGCTGGCTGAGCTCAACAGGAAACTTGAGCTGCTCCAGCATCAGAGTAAGAGCCTGCAGATTGGCAGAACAGGGCACTGGTCAGTACCGAGCAGCACAGTCAGTGGAGACAGCACACACCAGACAGTCCGGGCAGCAGACACAGCAGACTCGGACTGGGTATCACTTATCAGACACGGACCCAAAATCAGGCAGGGGCCAGACAGTCGGACACAGACAGAACTCATGGATCAGAATGTTAATCAAATAAGGTCATTGATATTCATGCAATATCAGTTGGGAACACTTCAGGGAAGTAATCAATTTCCAAAGCTGACACTCAAGTAGCCGATCAGAGCACTCAATCTTTTGTTAACCCCAGGTATGTGACGGCATATACCTATTCCCCATGAGGCAGTGCGGGATTAACGTAAGCTGAGGCTCCACTTAACAATTTTCCCTGCGTTTTTACAATAACGTGAGAATGAGATGCAATTCACAATGCCAGAAAATGTATATCTAGTGCAAACTGATGCACTAAGCCACACTGCCGAAGTCTCATTGCTAAATGTCACAATATCGCTCACGCATTATCGCAGAAAGTTCAGAACGTTGATTATTTTTGCATTATTGCGATATCGCATTATGGCAAATCGCAAAATCACAGAAAATTGTGTAGTGGAGCCTGGGCGATATTCTCATGTTGTTAAAAGCAGTTAAATTGTGCCCGACTTTATAGATTGGATGACCAGGAACACAGTTCTGGCATTTATTTTTCATTAAACATGTTAGGCTTCCCATACTCAAAACACAAACTTTCAAATATGTGACGTCACAGCCCAAAAATACCTCCTTCCCCAGGCCACATTACTGTCATAAAGCTGATTCTTTTTACTCTGTAGGCACCACAACAAAGTTCAGACCAAGTTTTAAGCGATTTTTCAATGAACAAACTCATTTAAATCAGAGTGACTAAACGAGGTGACATCACACTAACGGTCGCTCCATGTTGAAGATAGGGCCTTGCGCAAGGCCCATTTTGATTTTCAAATGAAGGGAACAAATTTCTTCAACACCAAGAGGCCGCGGGGGTTGCAACCTAGATAGATAGTGGTTTCTGAACCTCGCCGCAAACTTGGCTATCTCAACTCAAACCCCATGCTAAGGGTGGGATAGTCCCCTTAAATGATACATGCAAACACTGCAACTTTTTACAAGACTTCATCGTTATTTCCTGCTTTCAACTATATATTGATATCCAGGAATGATGACTATCCTCACACAAGACAGCATAAATGTGGAGCTATCAAGTAAGCACAAAAGTCATACCGAAAATGATACAAATACTACTTTTGAAGTGGATAAAATTAATTGCTTTGGAGGGCTCTCTCTATCGCCTGGATAAAAATAGGCCCCGCCCATCCCAATCAGCTGCTGCATGACGAGTTGATGACGACAACCACTACTTACCAGCAACCAATCTAGGGATAGCGTACGTGACAGTAATGGTGCAGCGGTTGCAAAATATTACATTGTTATTCAAACGGTTTTTGCTTTTAGGGCCTTGTTAGATGAGGATGAGGTTAGATTAGATGAGGTGTTGATGAAGGCAGGTATTTTTTTTAAATATTTTTTTTGACAATTTTTTGCCCTTGTTTTACTTAAGCTGAACCCGGGACCACCTGAAGTCTAAACCTTATTTTATATAACATGTCAATGCTGATGCTGTCTTGAAATGTGAAATTTAGACAATGGTTATAGGAATAATGAATAGCAATTTCACCAACAACATTTTAATCTCTAGGAAGTGCAATTAAAATTAAAATCACTGTCTGCCACACTGCTCCATCCTGGTCATGCAACCAACGTTCATGGGTGGTGTTTCACGGCAGAGCACGCACTGCAGTGCTCAGCACTGCAGTGCGCTGCGTGTGTCAGAGCATTGGGTTTCCATGGCAGTGTCAACAAACTTCACTGTGACGCTAAGCTATGACAGCATCCCAGAACGCTAGCACGCTGCGGTACCAGCACCAGCAGCATGCTAGCAGTATTTGAACTCAAACCTCTGTTCTTGGTACGGTTTTTCAGAACCTCTCACTCTGTTCCAAACGCGATTGATCATAAACTAAGAGATCACATGCAACGTCATTTGAGTGATGCTATGGTATGCCGTAGCTACCAGTGCACACAGTGTCTGGATGGTGAAACAGGGCCATTATTAATCACATTTGCTTTGCTTTGTTTCAGCAGAAACCTGTCTGCACATGGGAGGAGCTCAACAAAAGCCCATCAAGTTCATGCATGGCAGTGGATCTCAACAGGAGAAAACCAGAAAGAACATGGATGCTTGTAGATTGCAGTTGTACACTGCTGTTATCACCTGATGTGCGTGGCTGGCATTGCTCCTGGCAAGAACCACCTGCAAGTGATGAGAATGAGATGGTGCCTCAGTCGTTGAGTGTGCTGCAGTGTGAGAGGCGCCCTGATCTCTACTTTGTGATAGGTTTCCATTGGAGGTTCAACTGAGAAGTGAGAACTGACTGTGACCATGCTTGAGCATGCCAGTGGAGCTTTACATGCTTAGGGCAGCTTTTGAACAGATGCTGACCATGGCATGTCCCATCCAGTTATCACGTGCACAGAATGGTGGGGGGAGGGCAACTCTGGGCTCTTGAGTCAGCCCTACTGCACAGGGGGTACAGATGGCCGCTTACGTTTGGTGTGTCCTGCACTGCATTATCAAGCCCAGTCTGCGCCACAGGCAATGGGTCGGGCTGCACTATATTAAAGGCAGACTATCTTGCAAAGGAGGCTGGCATCCTCTCCCATAATGACACACCAATTGGCAATCATCGCTGCGATGATCACGAGGGTGTCCGCTTATCTAACATGGTGAGGTGGAGAGCCAGTTCAAGCTGGCCTGAGGGATGGTTTTACTTCATCTGAGGCCCCCTTTCCCCGCCTGCCAGGTCCGGTCAAACGACCGCTTCACAGTGAACGACTTGCAGTGGATGCCGTCCCACAGCGCAACGAGCTCGCCGACCAGAGGCGGCGGCCAAGAGGCGGCCGCGCTCCCCCAGTCGACGGTCCCGGTGGACGTCGGCGACGCCCACCGCGCGACCATCAGATCGGCTCGCGACAGCGCCGTCGCCGACTGACCGCATGACTGGTATCTGTTCTTGATGTGGGACCGACTGCCACCGCCGGTCGCGGAAGGGCATCGCTCATCGGCCATCGACGTCCGCCAGCTTCGCGTGGGTCACTGTTCGGGCTGCCACCAATACACCGAATCGGATGGAACCCTGTCGGCGAATGCCGGCGGTGCCCCGACATCGACTGCGCGGCGGCCAGTGCATCGCGTGCCGGGAGGAGGCTGGCACCCCCGATCGGTCATTGGTCACAAACCGTGTCCCAGCTCATGACTGCATCCAGCGCAGCTCTGTGAGATGTTCTGCAGCTGCTGCAGTCTGCCGCGTGTGTTAGTGAAAGAAGAATGAACATGAGAAAACCTCAAAACTTTATGCCTATTCGCAATTGACCAGTATTGGAATAAGTTTGGATTTTGAGAATTTGTGTCCCTGTGCTTGTGCCTGTGTGGAAAGGCATGCTTTACGGTGTACCATCTCAATGTCAAATCCCGGCTGCGCTGTGCGGATTTGTGCGGCTGCTGACAGGCCACCTGGGTGCCAACGTATGTGCGAATCCGCGAATACGTTGTGTTTCGTCAGTCAGTATCGTTCTGAAAATATTGACTGCAATAGGCTATATAGCGTATGACGGTTCAGCCCAGCAGTAATAACTGACCATTGATTGGGCGAATTTTGTGTGGTGGTTCGCTAATACATAACCTAAAGAGTGTTTTGCCGGAATCGTTTAGTAGCAGAACTGACCGGAATATAAGTAGAATGCAATGGTTTGAATCGTTAATTTGTTGAAACGATTGTTCTCTGAGACCACTGTGTAACTTTTGACCTGAGAATCACCAATTATAACGACAATGGGGAAGCAGTAGGCTGTACTGTAGAGTGTAGGCAACACTATATAGTTGGCACACATACGGAAGCACCGACTTACGCAGTGGACATCTGCATCATGCATGTAAGGTTTACTGGGAAGAGTGAGAAATTAGTCAGAATATAACTGACTAAGAAAATAGGCGATATTTCCTATTGAGCTGGGGCGGAGAGGGGGAGGGGACGTGTGGTCACTATGCCAATATTCATTCTCTTTATGCAGCTGTGTAAAAGGGCGTCCGTTTTTGGGTGAGACCTTCCCCATCGGCCATTTCCAAGTTAAATCGTGGTGGAGAGTCTGGAGACCTCA